TTATACATGTCTAATGAGGGGCTTTAAAGCAACCATTACAACCCCAAAATAAGATCTTTAAGTCATTTTGGATAGGATCATGAAAATGTTACCTCAGTCCTTAGAAGCTATTGAAAGAGAATAGAATGTTTTAAGAAAGTGCAAGAGAAAGAAAACAGAAGCTGTTATATGGATATGAGACAGCAGTGTACTCAGGTGGCCAAGAAAGCCAAAATCATCTTGGGTTGTATCAGAAATAGTGTGGCCAGTAGCAGTAAGGAAGTGATTGTCCCCCTGTACTCAGCTCTGGTGAGGCCATACACCAAATATTGTGTTCAGTTTTGGGCCCCTCACTACAAGAAAGAGTGGAACATGTGCAAAGAAGGGCGACAAAGCTGGTGAAGTATCTAGAGAACTGGTCTTATGAGGAGCGGCTAAAGGAACTGGGGTTATTTAGCCCAGAGAAAAGGAAGCTCAGGGAGACCTTATCACTCTCCAAAGGAGGCTGTAGCAAGGTAGGGATAGGTCTCTTCTCCCAAGCAACAAGTGAAAGGACAAGAGGAGGTGGCTTCAAGCTGTGTTAGGGGAGGTTTAAGTTGGATAATAGGTGAAATTTCTTCACTGAAAAGATTGTGATATTGGAACAGGCTGTCCAGGGAAGTAGTTGATTTATCGCCCCTGGAGGTATTTAAAAGGTGTGTAGAGGTAGTGCTTAGGGACATGGCTTAGTGGTAAACTTGGTAGTGTAAGGTTAACAATTAGACTAGATGATCTTAGAGGTCTTTTCCCCATTGTATAAACAGCTCTTTGGTATGAGCTCAGGTAAAAGAGATTTAGTAGAATTGTAAGATGTACAAAAACAGGCAGGGAAGGTGGTCAGTGTTATTAAACAGCTTCTACTGTTCCTCCTATTGAAGATTAAGGCCTCTTGGCCTAGAAAATTTGGGTGTGACAAAAGTCTCTAACATCAGGAGTGAAACAGAGAAGGTAAAAAGAAAAACACTTAGCATTTTCAACAATATAACTTTAGAGACATCAAATCCATCAACATTCATGTAGTAAGTCTAAAACCAAACCCCAAACTTTTCCACACAGTACATAATTACTGGGCTACTGTCAGAGGATGTGGGTGCTACAAGTTTACACAGTTTGAAAAATAATTATACATGGTCTAGGAATTAAAAAAATAAATAAATCCATCACATGTAATACAAATCTAAAGATGTAATTTCTGTCTTGGAAACTCCTCACCTTTCAAGCTGCAGAATGTTAGAGGTAGGAAAAATGTACCTGCATATTTTGTCTCTATTTATACCCTCATCTGAGCACCTGGCTGCTGTCAGATGTGATACAGGTCCACACTGAAAAGTTCAGTGCAATAAGAGGATTTCTTACATCAGTTCTTCATCTGTATATTAATAGCGCAGCAAATGAAAAAGCACCAGCAGAGAAACAAAGTCATCTTCAAGCAGGTTTATTATATTGTGTTCATGGATGAATAAGGAATTGAGAAAATGACTGATTTCTTGGGTCAACTCACTCACTGGAGTAAGTCTGCTAAAAACAGAGGATCAATGACAATTTATTCTGTCTGAGAAGCTGTCCTATAAGGCATGTCAACCACTATCACACCATCACTAGATACATTGTGAATAGCACAATATCACATTATAGTGAATAGCACAGTAGCTGGTGTTTTTACACAACAATTATCTTGGCCTGAGAAATATAACAGACGGTCTCAAAGTCTTCAACCCTGGGGCATGACTTTGGCCATTAGGCTGTCTGTTTACGTAGAGTTACCTGGTTTTAATATGAGTAAAACGTCTGTAGGCTTCCAAACATTTCTAAGAACTATAAACATTTTGTATTGACCCAAAAGACGATGTCCCAGAACTGCATTTGTAACTTGACAGAGTGCTTTCTATGGTCCTAGAGACACTAGGTGGTCCTAGGACCACAATACTGTCCAGTATTTATTATTACTAAATGTATATTTTTACACCTACGATTATTTTTATGTATGATTTATATATGAAGAGGCCTAGGAAAGTTTGACAGCTCCCATATCTGATTGTTCTTGCAACATGCAGACCTATTCCATGCTGTGATGCTTACATTGGTGTCCTTCAGCTCCTGTTTTCATGGGAGGGGGCCCCTGTGTCAGAACCAAATTATATTTGCTCTCCATGGATCTGAAATCACCCTGAAATGTGGGATGGGCTGCTATAACTGCTTTTCTATTTAAGGAAATTAATATTTTAAGGCATGTAGTAGGAACAACAACAACAATGACAAAAGGTGAATTTAACCTTCCTAATCTTTCTATCAATATCTTTGATAAAGAAAGGAGAGTTACTGCTCTGGATAGTTCAGACATTTGTACTCAACATATTAGTAAGTAGATCATACTGCTTGGCTGGTAAGCCTTTAATATATTATTATTATGTAAAATAAAACCACTATTCTCTTCACAAGATTTGACTTGGAACACAGCCCTGTATTGTCACTCTGTAGTCTATAGATTTTATGTAGAAACATAACTATGAAAAAAAAGAAAAAAACATCATCTTGCCTAATTAATTATTAATTGTTATTTCTTCTGTTTCAAAGCAGACTGCTTCCAATTTTCTACTTCCTGCAGAGTGTCCTGACCTGTAATCAGTCTGGTAAAGGGATTTGTTAATATCTATTTTCAGGCATGTCAAATATATTCTATATCAACCACAAAATGCATTATAAAAAAAATATTTGTAATATATGTTTGTCTATATTGCAGAATTTTCAGAATCTCAGGAAAATCCAACAATGACTTTTTTTTGCTTGCTTGTACTTGATTTTATGAATTTCTTTTAATTGATAATCTTTTGTTATTAGAACAGTATAGCTATGCCCTTAAGCAGTCATTTGGACTTCTGAATTCAGGACTAATTACTTCAGATACACAACACAATCTATAGGAGGTGTAGTGTTTGTCAATTAAGAGACCCCAGCAGATGTAATTATACACATTACTTGAGCTTCTTAGGGAGGTTTTAATAATTCTTTAAACAGCTTTTAGTTATTTATCACTGTTGAATGTCTTTTTTAAATTATTTTTTGTATCTATACAACATCCTTGATTGTCAGAGAAATACAGAGAAATTTTTTGAAAGAAGAATATGTTGGAAATAACAGATAAAACTAACTTTGTAGTTGCATTGCAGTCTTATTTGTGACCCTTTAAGCTGATATTATTGTGTAAGGGGCAAAACTTTAATTGGCAAAATCACACCTTCTTGTCGCATTCTATCTGAAAAACACAGTGATGCACACCTTCATAAAAGAGGCAGTGGTTCTTTTCTGTTTTTATTTGAAAGTGTCCAAAATAATATTCTTTTTGGTATTGAGAGGTGGTAGTGGTTTAGTTGTTAAGGACATTGTAAGCTACATGACCTGAGCCAAGCCACCAAAGGGTAGCTGCCTTGTGTTATGTGAATATTTACTTACTACACATCAATCTGTCTTTCTACTCATAAATTGTATCTTCCAACAGTAAATTGGAAAATCCACTTTTTCTAATGTTTATAAAAATAGTTGTATTTTGCAGGAATTGTTAATATTGGTAAAGCTGAAAAATTTGAATAAAATACAATGTGGATGTGTGGAAAAAAGACTCCTTGCCACTTTTTGAACACCAAAAGACATGGAAAATTTTGATGTTGTGAACAAAGGATAAAGTAATAAAAGAAGAACAATATTTTGTTTTTGTAAGAATTAAAATGTAAATTGAATATTAGATGTTATTTTATTTTATTCAGATGATAAGCTGAAATGTTGTGAGAGGGAAAGATATCCACTGAAACATGAGTAGGTATTCTTACATACTACCTATTAGTATACCAAAGGATATTTCAGAACTTGAACCCTACTATATCCTTTTTATTTTATTCTGCCTCCACTTCCCTGCAATGATTTGGTTTCTACGCTTACATTCAAACTTTTAAAATAAAAATGTAAGTGACTGAAGATTAAAGCACTCATTTTACCTCATACTAATGCTCTATGAATGACACCAATTATTTTGTGTCTAAATCAGCACTGCATAATAATTTAACATACTCACTGATTCTTCAGTTCCTTGGTAGCACTCAGACCTTCTTCACAAATGATTCTGAAATAGATATTAAGGCTAAGAGCCAATGGAAGTAAGCTATGGGATGTAGTATAATGGCTCTTATTTTTCTGACCATAAGTAATGGAATTATCTGTACTTGTTTTTGAAATATTCCTTCTTTTTTCAGAGAATCAGAGAAATGCCAAAGTTGGATGGGACCTCAGAAGTCCCTTGCCAAGAAGATCCCTAGCCCCTGCAAAGCAGGATCACCGAGAGCAGGTTCCACAGGATGCCGGGTAGGTTTTAAATATCTCCAGAGAATGAGACTCCACAACCCATCTGGGCAATCTGTTCCGGTGCTCTGTCACCCTTACAGTAAAGAAGTACCCCCTCATACTCAGCCAGAATTTCCTGTGATTCAGTTTGTACCCTTTGCCTCTCGTTGCTGGACAAAACTGAAAAGAGACTGGCTCCATCCTCTCAGTACCCTCTCCTCAGATATTTAAATACATTGATGCGGTCTCCACTCAGTCTCCTCTTTTCCAGGCTAAACAAGCCCAGTTCTCTCAGCCTGTCCTCATATGACAGGTGCTGCAGTCCTCTAATCATTTTTTAGCTCCTTATTAATAGAGACGAAGATGATAAGGAGTAGAATCTGTAGATCTGTAGTCTTGCCACCAAAAGGAATCATCTTGCCAAGAAATTGAATAATCTTGCCAAAAACAAATCACAGCAGATTATATTTACTATTTGCAACAATCTATATGTACTCCTTTTCTTTTTTTCTATGTACAGTGTTTTTTTCTTTCAACATCTGTAAGTGGAATATTGGACTATTAAAAGAAGAGAAGAAGGGGGGAAGGAGGGGGCAGAGCAAAATCTACCAGAAGGAAAATGATGAACAAATACCAAAAATTAAACCATGTAGAAACAGTCTGAGTGATTTTATTTTATTTTTGTAGCTTTTAGGAAGGTGCCCAGCTGTCACTGTGATAATCGTTCATCTGCTCAGAAGAAAGTGCACTTACTCATCACAAAATCTTGTTCTTGCATATGGTAGTAGGCATACTCATCAGTAAGGTAGTCTGGGGATAGATGTAGCCAACCAGTTCTCAGTTCTGCAGTGGGTAACCACCACATCTTCTTTCCTGAGTGAAACAAAATGAAAATGTAGTCAAAAGCACAACAGTGATGCACTCAGGATACCCAGTAAAGTCAAATAACCATTTATTTATATCTTGTAGGCTAGCCCAGAGGGACACCTCTTTAAATTATTTAATACTAAATTCAATAGTGGACTGGTTTAGATGTAAAATTCTAAACATTTATTTTAGTGGCTTGCTAACCATAGCCATTACTTTTTAATTATGTTAAAAATTTTCACAAAAAAAAAAAAAAAAAGCAAATATTTTGATAATCTTTTACAAGAATACCTACCTTAATATGTGTGCTAAAAGAAACATTAGCAAAGTAACAGATGGCAGATTCTTCCTTTCCTTGTTGGAAAATGGTCTTAGAAGAAAATAGGATGAGTACATGAATGCTATTTATTTTGGACTGAGCCTTCCTTATATTTCTCAGAATAATACACTTGGCTTATAAGTAATTATTCAGTAGAAGTCAATATTGTTTACATTGTAGTATCTTGAAATTTTGTCAGATAATAATACATGTTAGCATACTGAAAGTTCTAGATTAAAACAAAAAAAGTAAGCAAAAAGCAACAGCAATAAAATGACAACATCCATTACTAATACATTTCCTCAGCTAGTCGCTAAGCTATGGATTTTTTTTTTCCATTCTTTCAATTATTGTATCTTCATTTCATTTTCCTTCCCACTAAGAGGATTATAGCTCATTTCTAAAATTAATTTATTGTCTATAAATAGCTGCATTTTGCTAAGTCCAGTCATTGAGGGTAATTTTACATACTGATTCATACAATTTAAGTTAAGAAGGAAAATTTAGGTAATTTAGTCTTATCTGTTCTATTACTTGGCCCATATTCTTGGTTCATATTACTTGGGCCACACACAGGTGTCATAGTTACCTGTTGAATTAGGAAATGGTGAATTCATTTTTTTTTATTTCTTTTTTTGGTATATTGGTCATTACTTTGTTACATCTGCAGTCATAAAATAAATAAATATCCATCAAATTGTAACCATTGGTTATTAATTAAGGTAACCCTTAGGATATTATATTCCTTCTCCTCTTTCGAAGTCCACAAATTGGGGTTATTTCTGGAATAGTAAATAGAAAAAATAAATAAATAAATTCATTCTCAGGAATTGTAGAGGCTACTTACTGATACATACTTGTACAGTGAACAATTTCTTATGCTGTTTTTGTCCATTCCACATCTTGGAAGCTCATCTTCACTTCTCTGTAAAGAAAAAGTGAAAAATTTGTAAATCTATTTTAGTCTCATTCCTTTCCCTCTCAGTCTCCTATCCTGAAGATGCAGTGTCTTTCTAGATGTGTAAGCTTGCTGCCGGCTACATTAAAAGTACATTTGAATCAACAGACTCTTGTTATGTATGATCTAATTTCTTTCTCTGGCTTCTCTGAACTCACAATGATGTATTACTCTTCCAGTGTTGTCTATCTATTTTATAATTAAAAAATGGTATTATTTCATATTTTGTCTTAATAATAAATGGAAGTGTTGAAGGCTGGTGAGCTTCAGTGGAACCTTGCCCATATTGCTTGACAATGCCATTTGACAACAGCATTTGAAAATCTGAAATATGACACTGTTTTTAACATCAGAGTGCTAGGTGCTTCTACATGTAAGTAAAATGCCTAGTGTCATTACCTCTAATAATCAAACATGTAATTTTCCCAAATAATTAAACTAAACTGTTTGTCAAGATGCATTTTTAGGAAAGTATGTTGATTGCTTGGATTATATTTCTGTTCTTTGTTTTATATTAATTATAGGCCTGTATATTCATTATTTTTTGAATCCTGTATGAGAACACTCATTATTTTACCATGGGCTGATGTCTAGCTAACCTGCCCATAGTCATGTGGGTCATGCAGCACACTCTGTTTGAATGTATACAATGGCATACTTTATTCATTTGTAATTTCTCTGCCATGCCAAGACTTAATTAAAATTGCTAACAGCAGGTCAGAGATCTCTTCTATCTACAATTCCAGTAAAATGGGGTGGTACTTTTAAAATGTTTACTCTTAGTAAAACCTCCTCAATTACAAATATAAAAGCTTTGATATTATCAATTCAAACATAAAACAGAAAATATTAATGAATATTTCTGCACCATTAGGGAGAACACAACAAGCAAGTGGTGGACTATATTATTAAGTTGGATTTTTTCAGTCTAATTCTCCTTTCAAAACTTCTCTTCTTGTCCATATATATATACATATTTTTTTTTCCACATTACTTTAAAATCCACAGTGCTCTTACTTTCTTTTGTGATTTTCTTTTTTTTAGTGTTTTTGCTTCCCCTCTGTTCTTATATCTTTCTTATTGCTTTTATGTTTCAAATTGCTGCCCACACCTTGTGAAACAGGAAATACAGCCAAAAATGCCTTCATGTGGATGATGGATATTAAATTTGAAATGTTATTAATCTTGGTAATTTATTTATCTTTAAGTACTTAAGGATGATTCTGATTGATCAAGAATATTGGCAATGAGATCATGCCAATCATTTGGCAACAAGAACAGCCACAGTGATACAGGAATAATTTTTATCTGGTCATTCTGTTAGTTTCCAAAAATGTCTTCAATGCATTTTCTGTCAGAAAAATGTCATCTATAAATTTTAGAAAGACATGCATTGCCATTGTATATTGGAAATCTGTCACAGTTGATTTTCAATTAAAGCCCTTGTAAGTCAGCTTGCTGATACAGAGAAATGAATACATATTTTTTTAAAAAAAAATCTCTATTTTTCTGGTTTAACTCAAGGGCACATGACAGTATCTCCTCCCATTCACTTACCAGAATGTTGTCTTAATTAAGCATAGAAAAAAAATGAGTTTAAACTTTCATGAATCCGTGCTGTAGAAATGCCTGCCATGGACACACACTCACCAAATATTTGTTCACTCTATACTGCCTTGAAGACTGTAACTACCTGTTGCAACATCACAGCCTTGTAGCACACCCCACCAGGACATATTGGTAGACATAGGATGATTATAAATTTTTTTTTTTAAAAAAGAAGCATTTACTAATTTCCAGTAACAAAGATCTTTAGTAACAAGTTAAATATCTATGACATGTACAGTTGACCCTGTCTTGGTGCAGAGGGATAGACTGAGGTTATGTCTGACCTTTGATTTCTAGTCATACTGGCTGTTCTGGAAAGGATCAACACCTGCTTTTCTCTGTTCAGTCCTATAAAATGAATATAATCTTGTCATTGACTATATACACATCTTTCACATTTTCAGTGACCAGATTGCTAAATAAAATTCGAAACACATGACAAGGCATTCATGAATTTGAGGGCCGCGCTGTGACTTATCTGTATTTGAGGTTTCCTCCTTTTCTTTCTTCAGTTATGAAATGCACAGGCATACTGAGTTTAATCTGGTTAAAATTAAGCAAACAGGTCAGATAGTCACAGAAATGCAGACTAGAGTGCCCCATAGTATTTCTAAATCAAGTGCAACACAATTCTCAGTACACTACACACAGAGAATTTCTGGAACAGATAAAATGAGGTGAGAGCAGTTGAAAATAATAACTAATTTATAAGGTTAGCAGAAATACTTCTAGCTTTAAATCTAAGGTTATGGTACAAATCTCAGAGAGAGTGTGAAAGAAAAAGGAAGAACCAATAAAAAATACAGATCAGAAATTCAGTTCTAGGATTAAAACTCAGCTCTTTAACAACAGCATTTTGTTCAGGTCTGACACTAGCATACTGAGTTAGCACAGAATGTTAAAAGATTACTTAAAAACAAAAACAAAACAAAAAAGAGGTATTAAACCTTATCTTCACTGCAAGGTAGAAGTTGTGAATCCTATTCTGGGTCTACAGTCCTACTGTAACTTTTCTTAGCTTGCTAATCCTTAAAAAAGACATAGACAATAAGTAGATTTAACCTAACTTGTTCCTGTTAAAACAGTGATACAGGTTGTATTTTCTTAACATGCATTCATCCAGTAAGAGAGTAACTAGTCAGGCACTATTGACCTTATTTCATTCTAATCTCACTTTAGACATGCACTAATCTCCCCATTCACTTCTTAATGACTTACTCACTACCATGACCCCAATTAAACAGTAATGTTTAGAAGAAAATGTGAAAATTTCCACTATCAATACCAGGTGCTGTGGTTTAACTTGGAAGGCAGTTAAACGCCACACAGCTATTTGATCACTCCCCACCCCAGTGTGATGGGAGAGAAAATTGAGAAGTGCTAGAATTTGTGGGTTGACACAAAGAGAGTTTAATATGGGAAAAAAAAAAAAAAAAAAAAAAAGAAAGAAAGAAAGAGAAAGAAAAACAAACAAAAGACAACAAAAAGAATAAACACAGCAAATGATGCACAATGTAATTGCTCATCACCTGATGACTGATGCCCAGCTGGCCCCCAAGCAACAGTAGCTCCCCTGGCTAACTACCCCTAGTTTTGTTATACAGCATGACTCCATATGGCATGGAACATCCCTTTGGCCACTTTAGGTCAGCTGTCCTGGTTCAGTCCCCTCCCAGCTTCTTTTGCACCTCTAGCCTGCTTGCTGGCAGGGCAAAATGAGAAGCTGAAAAGGACCTGACTTAGTGTACGTGCTGCTCTGCAACAGCTAAATGTCAGTGTGTTTTCAACATTATCCTAATATCAACATTATCCTAAATCCAAAACACAGCACAGTACCAGCTAATAGGTAGAAAACTTTATTCCAGCTGAAAGTAGGACACCTGTGCTTATGGTCTGCCCTTAAACAAAACAAAAATGCCAAAAGAAACTAAAGGCAGAATGAGGTTAATTTTGGCTGCTTAAAACCAATATTAGTTTTCTTTGGACTTCACTATCTGGGGAGCTTGAGGCAATAGGCACTCTCAGGGCATGCCTGATATGCTGAAAATGTGGGGGTTTTCACAAAAAAACCCACATGGTGGTGTGAGAAAAGCTAGTTAAGTCTCTTTATGAAATAGTGGAATGATTATAAAAAACTTTGGGTTTATTATACTTCTCTCCTTGAATATTGTAGGGTGGTAGAAAGTGGTTTCAGAGTGCTGTTGTGACAGTGTGCTTGCTGCTGGCTATGCACTGGAAGTAAACAGATGTATGGAAAAGAGAGAAGCTGGAAAAGAAAGGAAAGATGAAAGAGGGAACACAGAGGGGAGTGACAATGCTGCTGTTGACTCCTGAATTCCAGGAATATTTCAGCACATTTGTGCTGAAATGAACTAACTGTAGTTTTGACCAAAACTAGGACTGAAACTCTAACCTCTCCCCTGTTGCTTCTTTTTTGGTTCCTTAGATTACTTGACTATTTTTCCACTGGTGCAGTGAATATTGAGTCTTGGGCATACACAGTTGACTTCTAAGGCAGTCTGAAAGTATACATTGTGACAAAGCTTAAAAACAGGTGTTTAATGAAAGTCTGATATTTTCATTCTGACTGCACGAGTAATAACTCGACTACTTTGTTATGTTTATTAGTGTGTGCATATATATTTGTTTGTACATATATATGTATGTTTCATTCTATTTTAGATTTTAGTTGCTGTAATCACAATTATCTCACATCTGAATCACAGTACTGACTACAACGTGTATAAAATTTATGACTTCAAAATTAGTCAGATATTCACTATGTCCCTTTCAAAATGATGAACCTATGTACAAAATGAACAGCCTTTCATCTTTTGAAAAATCTCTTGACCCTTTTATTGGTTATTTTTGTTAGATTTTTAGGTCTTTCACCTTTTCCCTCTGCACCTGAGTGCAATTTTTGGAAGCTAGGTGTCACTCACATCCTTAAAGAAAATACTTAACCTAAAATTGACTGTGCGTGGAAACTGAACATGAAAGTATATCATTTCTGGGGTCACTTGCCTCAAGAAATGGAAAAATCTTCCTTCTTCCAGCTTTTTGATTTTTGGACTGTCATTTTCATTCAGTGAAGTCACAGTATAAAAATTCATTCATTGAAGACCTGCATATCGATCATAGTTATTTCTCTGCAGATGAATCACTTTATCGCTTTGTTCTGATGTTTCTGTATCTTGAGAAGTGCTTCATCAGTGTACTAAGTTACATACTTACCTTTAAGTACAGTAGGAATCTAGTGATGACACAGGAAATAATCCATCAATTGATATAATTATCATAAAAATATCACACATACAAATAAAAATAACATAAATAAGTGCAGATGAATCGCGAATGTCTTTGGTCAGGTTGTCATTGAAGAAACATCTGTGAAATGAAAGTGCTACTGCACAAGTGTATTATTAATGCAACTACACAAAAATGGATACTTCTGAGGTTGAGAAATGCTCTGTCTCACTTTGAGCACTTTACAGCACTTGTAATTACTACACAACAGCTATCACAACATTAAAAAAATCTAAGAATTTTTTGTATCTTTAAATCAGTGATTTTCTTCCAACCTTTTACCTTCTACCTACTTCAGCTAAATAAACTTTAGAGGTATTTCCATAGCTAAAATAACTTGCTAGAATATTTTTCTTATTAATTTGTTTTATTATTTATTATTATTATTATTATTATTACTATTTAAATTCTAATGGATTTTGCTGAATGGGACAGGCCCAAATGCATACAACAGATATGAATATGCAAATAGGGGGGAGTTATACATTTTATATATATATATGTATATATACATTATATGTATATATACATTAGTCTGTCCTGAGAGGCAGACATTGTGTATGCTTGGGCAAAAAGTTTGTTCCAGAAGTGGATCAGACTATTTTTAACCAGAGGTTACAGTCACGTATCCAGTCTTGAATGGATTTTCAGCCTCTGCTGCAGGCTGTGGAATACTTTACACAGGCAGATTCATTGTTCTTAGGCCACTACAGGTCAATAAAAGCCAATTTTGGACAAGCGGTATTAGTTTTCTCTGTTAGAAGGGCACTGTTAGGTAAAAATACTCTCATTTGTTTCTCTGAGGAGTCCATCCTAAACCTTGCTGCTATGGAGGAGAAAGCGTGTGCAAAGAACTGAAGGAAAAAAAAATAACTGTCATAAAAATCATAACTTCCCAAATAAAATAAATCCAATATAGTAACCTTGTAAAACAGCAAATCTTGAATATGTTCAAATGAACACGCTACTCATGGGACTTTGCTATGAGGCAGCAGCTGAGGTGAATCTTTAAAGCAGAGGTGAGGCAAGCAATAAATGCTGATTTTTCTAATGCTGATCTACTGCTGTTCAGTATTACGTTTTGAGTGTAAAGTGAGAGGAAAGCTGAAGTAATCTGAATTCATCTCCTGCACAAATGGAATTACGAAGAATGCTGAAAAAAAGGACCTATGGTTAGCTTGTGAAAGCACAGAATCATTTTAGAATCATAGAATCATTAGGGTTGGAAAAGACCTTCAAGACCATCTGGTCCAGCCATCCCCCTACCACCAATATCACTCACTAATAAACCATGTCCCTAAGCACCATGTCCAACCTTTCCTTAATCACCCCCAAGGAAGGTAACTCCACCACATCCCTGGGAAACCAGTTCCAGTGCCTGACAGCTCTTTCTGAGAAGAAATGTCTCCTAATTTCCAACCTAAACCTCCCCTGGTGCAACTTGAGGCCATTCCCTCTAGTCTTATCACTAGTTACCTGTGAGAAGAGGCTCACCCCCAGCTCTCCACACCTGAGGTCTCCCCTGAGCCTCCTCTTCTCCAGACTAAACAACCCCAGCTCCCTCAGCTGCTCCTCATAGGACTTGTGTTCCAGGCCCCTCACCAGCTTTGTAGCCCTTCTCTGGACATGCTCCAGGGCCTCAATGTCCTTCTTGTAGTGAGGGGCCCAAAACTGAACAAAGTACTTGAGGTGCGGCCTCACTAGAGCAGAGTACAGGGGAAAAATCACCTCCCTGGTCCTGCTGGCTACTCTGTTCCTGGTATAAACCAGGATGCCACTGGCCTTCTTGGCCACATGGGCACTCTGCCAGCTCACGTTCAGGTGAGCATCAACCAACACCCCCATATCCTTTTCCTCTGCCCAGCTTTCCAGCCACTCTGCCCCAAGCCTGTAACATTGCATGGCATTGTTTTGACCAAAGTTCAGGACCAAGCACTCAGACATTTTAGGAATCTGTCAAAGGACCTAAATATTAAAGCAGTTTAGAAGAAACAGTAAAACATGAAAAATGATAAAGTCCTAGAAAATAAAGAGGGCTCATACATATATTTCTTCCCATGTTGCTTTACCAATAAACAAACAAACAAAAACTTTCAAATAAAAGAAAAGCAGGGGAAAGAAAATATATAAAGACCGTTGTCTCTTAAGATAGTGTATTTACAAGATTGATCTCTGGCAAACTGCAGTAACTAGTCTATTTCTGTGAACAGCTATCTGTATTACCAGTACACAGAGAAATGTTTTAATCTCTCAGTGTTTTGTACTGAGAATCCTGTGTGTTAGGAAGAGGTCCGTCACCTCTGAGTGCCAGAAAACCTCAAAGATGCAGACAACTGAGCATGCCAGCACTCTGGTTGAGCTTCTGGGAGAAACAAGCTAAACCAGATCCCTGGGGAAAGGATGCTATACTCAGTAGGAGCCTATACACAAGGTTTTTCAAGATGGATCAAAGCCCATGCAGGTGTTTGTATTCACTATGGGCTTAAACCGGACACCAAGCCCTGTAAGGGGAAAAACTCAAGCTCTTCGTTCTTGACGTACCTTTTGGCTGGACCTCTGTGGGCTGTGAGACAGCACTGGTGGGGCAGATTGCTCTTCAGCTGGATCAACAGCTCTTATTCTGAGCACAGCCCTAAGCCCAGGTGGACATTTCAAATCAGAGCTGTAACAAGCCAGCTAAATGGAACAAGAGCTGGCAAGAGAGCCTAGCAGGTTTGAGCTCACTCTCAAGGTACCATTCACTCACCTGCAGGACAGATACTTTTCATGATGGACAGCCTTTTTGCTGTTTCTTTAGTCTGTCCATTTTCTCTCCATGCTGATTTTTGTACCACTTTATTGGAACTCAAATTTCATTATTATTGCAGAGATTTTGAAATCTCTCTTTTGTTATTTAGAACCTGATAAATCCTTTCAAGTTCTTATCCTAAATATCTACGTAAGGAATTAAAATAAAGCTACACCTCACCAAAATATTACTGTTTCTGTAGTTTTAAAACTAAGCATCCCAAGGGGAGTGTCTATAATAGTCTTCATATAAAAAGAAAAGAATATAGTAACAATAAA